ATACTCGGATCGAATGGACTCGACTCGAGTTCTTAACGAGCCGAAACGAGCTACTCGATATTCGACTCGAAAAGCTCGTGAGCATTTCAAAAAAATGTAATATTATAATTTTAGATTTTTAAAATTACATTATTAAAAATATATTAAAAATACACTATTGATAATTATAAAATTTTGAAAATATATTAAAAATTTTATAATACAACTACCCTCAAATTTTAATTTTTTTAATTAACCAGCCCAAGTTCAATTGTTACATTGTATATTACTAAAAGAAAAATAAAAGCTCATATAATTAAGCACATGTTATATTACATGTGATTGATTGATTTTTTTCTTTCTTTTTTAACTTTTTACCGCACAAGTACTTGACAACGTAGAAAAATAAAATAAAAAATAAGAAAAAACAGCCAAACAATAGAAAAATTGAAAATTGTTAAAAATTATTTTTGAATAAATATTCTTATATTTATTTTAAATTAATAAAAAAATTATTTATCTAATGACAAATATTTAATATATTTCTAATGATAATATTTTTAATAACTAATTTTTTAAATTGTTGTTATATTTTGAGGTTTCGGGTTCAAATATAATAAATATCAAGGGTTTGAACATTTAATATCAATATATTATATTGTACTTACCTCATAAATCGGTACCAAGTCGATTAATTAATATTTTTGTAATGAACCTTAAACCCTAAACTATAAACATTGAACCTAAATTTTAAACCCTAAACCCTAAACCCTAAACCCTAAAATATTTTCTTTTTATTTATGTAGCCACATAATTCGAAAATTAAATTCTTTTATTGTCTTATAGGTTTTAAGAGGTGGCAGATTAATTTGAAAGGACCCGTATCGTACATATGATTTTGATGAGCGCGTCTCCCGACATAGAATTTCTGTATATGCAAGAATTTAAACTTGAAATTTTACTTAAAGTGATATCAAATTTTTTATCACTTGAAACAAAAATATTAATTTTTGGTAACATAAATTTGAAGATATGAATTTTCGTTTACATACTATATAAGTTGCATTACTAAAAAAATGAATAAATTAAAATAAATAATTTAAAATGCATACTACCGCTTACTTAGTTCAATCTTAGAATATAAATCCCTAAATAAATAATACAATCTACATGGAACATGTTGAAAAACTGAAATACAATAGACCAACTTGTTCTACCTGTAATCAACAGTTGTTATATCTTCTCTAAATTGGAGAACGATTAATAAAATATATAAATGTAATAAAAAATTAATATTTGATATATCTAGTACCATGAGAGTAGAATTTATGTTTATTTAATTTTGGAGATGGTAGCAAAAAAATAAAAAATCTTGGTTTGTGTAGTCCCCTCAGGTTTTGAAATTTAGGTGAAAACTCTAAAAATAAGTCAAGTTCCACTATCTCACATCGCTGAGAAAGCATGCTAACAGCTTTTCCTCATGTTTATAAAGCCACAAGTAGCAGTGAAGCACCCTTCAAAACTCACGGAGCCATATGGTTCGAGCTCAAAATCGAGCTTGAATCGAGCTTGAGTTTCGAGCTATAATCGAGCTCTTGATTTTTTTTTAGTTTGAGCTTTTTCGAGTTCGAGTCAAGTTTCAATATTATGTTTCGAGTTCGAGTCGAGCTTGATAATTTTTAACTCGCGAGTTTTCAAGTTGAGTCGAGCTTACTATTAAAGTTTTCGAGTTTGAGTTGAGCTCAGCAATACTCGAGCTCGACTCGGCTCGTTTACACCTCTAGTTGAAATATAAATACTAGTTATTAAAGTATTGTACACCTACTCCAAGTATCGGCAATATTAATTTTAAAATATAAAATTAAATGGTAAATATGATCTTGGCAAATTTGATGAGTTGATGATAAATTTTAATGTTAAAAGTTGAAGTAGATGTTCATAAAACAACATGCTTCAGTGGTGCTTTCAATTATATTAGGAGGTGGTAGTTGAAGGGTGGGTACAACATTTATTTGTTAGACATATTTAGGTCTATACAATTAATAAGTGTCAAATGCAATAAATTTAACTGGACGTATCGATACCACTAATGTAAATATTGATATTTTGATTATAAGTTTATACACGTTTTCTATAAATATGGATACTTGTTGTGTCGATATCGATACTTTTATTCCAGTATGCTTGTAAAACAATTTGCATGTCAAATGTATCGATACATATTATTAAAGTATCGATTTTTATAATTTCGAAACAATGTATGCAAAATATGAAAATGTACAAGTTTCATACTTATTATATAGGTATCAATATTGTTATTCCGGTATGCATCTCAAACAATTTGCACGCAAAAAGTATCGCAACACATATAACAAGTATCAATACTTGGACTTTCGAAACCTATTACTTTAAAGTAATAGGTAAATTTATAATATAAACGGTAAAAATCTATTGATTTAATGATAATAGGCGTAAACATAAAGTACTGATACTTATTATATAGGTATCATATTGTTATTCCAGTATGCATCTCAAACAATTTGCACATAAAAAATATCGATACACATATAAAAAGTATCGATACTTGGGCTTTCGAAACTTATTACATTAAAATAATAGGTAAATTTACAATGTACACGGTAAAAATCTAATGGTTTAATGATAATGGGCGTAAAACATAAAGTATCGATACATTTATATAGGTATCGATATTGTTATTCCAATATGCATCTCAAACAATTTGTTCGTAAAAAGTATCGCTACACATATAACAAGTATCGATACTTGGACTTTCGAAACTTATTACTTTAAATTAATATGTAAATTTATAATGTAAATGGTAAAAATCTACCAGTTTAATGATAATAGGAATAAATATAAATTATCTATATTTATTATATAGGCATCGATATAATGATAATAGGTAAATTACTTTATTACTATAAAGTAATAGGTAAATTAACAATGTCAAGGGTAAAACTTTACCAGTATAATGAGAATAGGCGTATTTACCAAGTATCGATATTTTATATATATGTATCGATAATTTTAGTACAATATGCTTCTCAACAATTTATACGCAAAATGTATCGATACACATGTATAAAGTATCGATACTCAGAATTTTAAAACCGATTACTTTAAAGTAATAGGTAAATTTATAATGTAAATGGTAAAAATCTATTGGTATATTGATAATAGGCATATACCAAGTATCGATAATGTCTATATAGGTATCAATACTTTTATTATAATATGTTTTTCAAACAATTTGCCGCAAAATGTACTGATACACATATATAAAGTATTGATACCTATAATTTCGAAACCTATTACTTTAAAGTAATAGGTTAATTTACAATGAAAATGGTAAAAGTCTACCGGTATAATGACAATAGGCGTAAACATCAGGTATCGATACACATGTATAAAGTATCAATACATGGAATTTTGAAACCTATTACTTTAAAGTAATAGATAAATTAACAATGTACACGGCAAACGTTTATACCAATATAATAAAATTATGTGTAAATGTACAAGTATCTATATTGTCGTATATATATCGATTCTTATAATTTTGAAACCTATTACTTTAAAGTAATATGTAAATTAACAATGTACACGGTAATATGTTGATAATATTGAAAACAAATCAAGTAATTAACCTATTTTGTTAATGTCGGATTTCTAAGGCTCCATCACCTTTAAACAGGCGCTACTTATTACATGAAATAAGCGACACTTGTTATGTTATTATGGTTAATAATGTTTCCAATAATTAACTTATTTTGTTATCGTCGGATTTCTAAAACTCCATCAGCTTAAACTTTGGTAACATTTTAGGTGCTACCTAATATATTGATAACAAATCAAATAATTAACATATTTTGTTTCGTCGGATTTCTAAGACTCAATCAGCTTTAAAAATACGCTACTTATTACGTTACATAAGCGCTACCTGTTATGTTATTCTGATTGATAATGTTTCCAATAATTAACCTATTTGGTTTTCGTCGGATTTCTAAGGCTCCATCATCTTAAACTTTGGTAACATTTTAGGCGCTACCTAATATGTTGATAATATTGATAACAAATCAAGTAATTAATTTATTTTATTATCGTCAAATTTCTAAAGTCCTATTAACTTAAAAAATGTGCTACTTATTACATTACATAAGTGCTACCTGTTATGTTATTATGGTCAATAATGTTTCCAGTAATTAACTGTTATATTAAAGTCAATATTTTTTTGACGCATTTTATATACGATAATAATATTCCTGATTATTACCATTATTATTGCCAACACAAATAACATTCCAAGTAAAAACATATAACATTTACGCTAACCCTTTTAACATATTACATATTTAATCAACAATGTTATTTTTTAACCGTATATTAATATGCCTCGTAGCAGAAATTCTCAGTTTGAGAAGATGGTCAGATATTTATAGGAAAGGGTATAGGCGACACTTCCCATTGGCTGATCCTTTGATCTAAATTTGATTTAGCCACGTGGCATCAACATTGCCGACTGTTTATCTTCCACGACTACGGCTTATTGGATTTTTTATTATTTAATTTTCAATTTTATCGTAACCTATTAGCAATGATCCCATAAATAGTATATATATATATATATATATATATATATATATCTTATTAGTTAATAATTATGTTCAATTTTTAAAAAAAATATTTAAAAAAACTAAATATATTTTTTCTGAAATTTTTTATTTTTACATCATCAAAATAAATGTTAATATTAGAAAAAAAATCTCGAAATTGCTCCAATAATAAACAAATTACATTAAAAATATTGGAAGACATTATAATAAACTTGGACTAATGAGAAACAACCGATGACTTGTCTAAGAAAATTTGAATTTTCAATTTTTAATTTTCAAATACTTTCTAGAATATTTTTTAAATATTTTTTATAGTCTGTAATACTTCCTTTTATTTTTGTTTACAACATAAACTCATGGGAAAAGAGAAAACTGAGCATGTGCAACTTACGCTAAAGAAGTGCTAAAATATAAGATAATGGTGTCTGAATATAATGACAACTTTACCCACAATTCTCAATTAAATATACATCATGAGCCACACATCTTTGATTACAAGAGGGGAAGCGAGGCTCAAGGTTCGTCACTCGTGGCCCGCCATGGAGAAGGGTAATCTTATGGAAACCCATCTCTTACAATACACGTTTTCTGTCAAAACAGCTCAAACTCAAGGTGGTCTCTCGTAGCTTTACATTCCAAATAATTGCTCTCTGCTTCCGGGGTAATCATGCTTGGAACCCCGAATTCATACAACTCCGGTAGTTCCGGTGGAACAGCAGATCGTATTAAAGCCCAATTCAAGCCTTCAAAGAAAGGATGTTGCTTGATCTCGGCAGCCCCTTTCTCTGTTCCTAGGCGATTCTCAGGCTCCTTTACCAGCAGCCCTCTGATGAGATCCCTGGCCTGGAAACTAACAAGGGGGCGGTCTGGGAACTTAAGGCTCTCCAGCACAACATTAGCTAACGTGTCTTCATTCCCTGCACCTTTGAAAGGTGTCCTACCATAGAGAAGCTCGTAAAGAAAGATACCAAAGGTCCACCAATCAACAGCGGCTCCGTGACCCTCTCCTTTAATGATCTCAGGAGCCAAGTACTCGTGAGTCCCAACAAAGGAATTGGATCTTGCATCAGTAGGCTCAGCCACTAGCTGTGGCAGTGATCTGACTTGGGCAGCAAAGTCGGCTTTTAGCTTCCTCTTTGATTTTGCAGCAGCAGGCAAGAATCTAGGACTGAAGCATGCGACTTGACAAGGTGGTTCGATGCAGAAGGGTTCTCCGCAGCTAGATGCTGTGCATGGACCAGATATCCTGGCTGGATTCATATCTGAGGAAGGTTTGAGGAGAGTTGGACTAACTGTGCATCTAAGTGAAAGGTCAAAATCTGATAGCATAATGTGGCCATCTTCTCGAACCAGAATGTTTTCTGGTTTCAAATCGCGGTAGGCAACTCCAAGCATGTGCAAGTACTCCAAAGCAAGCAGGACTTCAGCTACATAAAATCTGCATATAGAATAACATATATAAACAGTTCAGAGATATTCTGATGTCAGTTTTGATGAGAAGAGAAAAAGACGAGAGCACGGAAGACACTCATTCAATTTCACACCTTTAAGCCGTACTTTACACTACTAAAAACAGCTCACCTAGAGACTAGCATAAACTACTATAAACTGATATTAAGAAAGTCAATTTGAGACCAGCCACCACTTCCAGTTGTTGGCTTGGATTTCAGGGGGGTCCCAAGGTGAATCAGGAGGAAGCGCCTATAACCTATCATAGCTACTCTAACCATTTCATAACTTTAACCAGATAAGCCACCAATACAATGCTAAACTTATTGCATTTTAGATGTTCAAACTGAATGAATGACCAACAAGATGCCAGATCAAAAGTTCTGCTTATTAATATGACACATCCAGCCATATCTTATGAACTTAAGCTCTCTTACTCTATAATGCAGGCATGTGTTATGAACTTAAACCATCTTAGTTTATTCCTTCTCCCTAATCTTATTTTCCATTTGCAATTCTGAAATAATGGTAAACCTAATTTAAAATGACTCGTCATCATATAAGCATCTTACCTAGCTGCTGGCTCAGGAAAACATCTCCCAGGCTGCTTTTGCCGAAGAACATGCAGGTCCCCACCTGGGCAGTACTCCATAACTAAACATGACAAGTTATCTGATGTAAATTGGGTATATAAAGTAGGGAGAAAAGGGTGATCAAGCATCCTTAGTATCTCCTTCTCTGTTTGGACCCTTGGCATTTTCTTCCTTCTTGCCAAAAATTCATTGTCCATGACTTTTATAGCATACAAGCAGTTTGTACCAATAAGCTCAGCAAGATACACCGTCCCAATATCTCCACAACCTAGCTTCTTTAAAAGATTGAAATGGCGCAAGCCCAAGACCCCATGCTGCATTTTAATGTGGCGGATGGCTGCCCACCTTACATCCTTTGACATGTGTGGTCTGTTGCTACAGCTAGGCCTACTTAAACTGCTGTCATCACTGATGCTTGTGCTATTACTATCACCAAGGCTGCTTGAACTTTGGGAGAAGTGTTCCTTTTCTCTTGATTTTTGGCTCTTTTTAGCCCTTGGAACAGAAGCTCGGCTTTTGTTAAAGTCATTCTCAACCAACGGAGGTTTGTCCAAATCAGAATTCAGATTACTTGAGCTCACTGCAGCACTAATACCGACCGACTGCAACCTTATAGATTCTTGATTAGATTCATTACTTAAACTCTTCAAAGAACAGTGGCATCTCAGACAAACTAATTGACTTGCAGTGGAATCCAAACTTCTATTCACTTCACTGGAAATATTAGAAGCACAAGAGGCAGTAGAGGAATCCTGCTTTATTTTCTTTTTGCCAGTACTTTTGCTCCTAACAACTATTTTTGCCACCCGCGGGGCCTTTCTTGTCATCCTGTTTACTCTGTTACCATTAATTGAGCTAGAAGAAGCAACAGCCCGCAACCTGCCTTTCTGTCCCAACTTTGGCATTGATGCTCTTTCTGGTAACTTGTTTGAAGCAGGCACGGTATTTTCAGGATCTGGCATATTACCATCAGCATAAGAACAAGATGCAGAAGTGTGCTTCTCCTTCCGATGCAGCTCTGCCATTGAAGGTTGCGTTCCAACTTTTATGGATGCAGAAACATCAGTTTGAGTTGATTTAGAAGTGCCAGGTCTAATTTCTGTTCTTGCATGAGCAAATCGAGGCGAAGAATTAGCACTTTGGCTCAATGACTTGTTCTGGGGAGGTTCACGTGGCACAGCAATCATTCTAGAAGAAGTCGATTTGCTTTCTTCAGGCACCAGAGACACTTCCACCATGCTCCCCTTGTTTTCATCTTTGAGAGCACCAGATCCACTGGCAGGTTCAACTACTACTGAATTGAACAAGCTTCTTATCCTTCCAGCTTCAGAAACCGTAGGAGAACTAGTTGACATCGATAACCATTTCACGGAAGCCATTTCTGATGCCTTAGAAATGCAAAGATCCCTTAACGCCTGCTTAAGAGACAAACACTCTGAAACACCAATTCTAGGGGAGTGGGGCATCCCCACTGCAATTGGCTTCTTCAAAGCATTTTTCTTTGAAAAGATAGAACTTGCTCCCTGGTATGAAACACTTAATCCTTTTGGACCTTTAAGATTGATAGCTTCAAAAAGCTGATTAATATCTTCTTCTAGAGAATCCTTACATCCCATTTTCAGCAAACTACGCTTTCCATCTTTGTCACCCACACCCAATCCTGAATGCGGTCTGTACAGCCGTTTAGAATGATGTTCCGGCTTTGACTCTTCGCATTCTTCAACTATTTCACAAGTACCAGAATATGAACCCATAACTGCTATGCAGTATAAATTATTCTCAGCAGTATCCTAAACCAAAAAGGTATGGATATCACCCTTGAAATTTATACTAATCCATGTTTCTATATCAACCAACTTCAAAGATCCGGATTCATAGCTACTTGTCTCCTTTTCTTCATCAACTCAATTTTAAAGTCCATATATTTCAATAACCTAAATAAAATAGAAAACAATTAAAACCAGAAATATATATTATGGCAGCAAAAATAACAATTAAGCAAATACATACACATGCATATATAAAAAAATTGAAAGGAAAAAAAAACATATAAGCAATTCACGCTAGCATCTCATGGTGTTTTAATTTAAATTTTCAAAATGAACAAAATCAAATTAGGTAGAATAATTTAAATTTCTAAGACTACTGTCTTTTTCTCGCTTTTAATGTATCATGGTTAATTACTGGACCACATGCTATATTTAAACTAACAGTATATCGTTAACCAAAAAGAAATAGTCGAACTACATAGCAAAAAACAAATTTTAACTCTATTTTTCCCTCCACAAAACAAAAGGAAAAAACCACCCGAAGCTAAATCTCAATTTGCAAACTACACTTTGTTCCATTTCCAGCTTTGAAAAAGAATCACTGAGCCAACAAACATACCAAGAACAAAAGCACCCTAAACTGTCAATCAAAGCCCAACACCCCCAAAAAGCATTTAAAAAAGAAACCCATACACTAAAAGCTCCAGCATCCTAAAGGTCTGTAGCGTTCATCAAATTCAACAGTAAAACCTGGATGAAGAGAAAGAAGCATTACCTGAAGAAACAAGAGGAGAAGTGAAAGGCATTGAACAACAGATTGTATGAGTTGAAGTAAAAGTGTGAGATGGGGACGTTAACAAATGGGTGTTTAGGGATTCAAAACCCTAAATCCAAAGACGATTTGATGATAAAGGAGGTGAAGAAGGAGAGAGAGAGAGTGAATAAAGAGACGGTTGGTTTTTTCTTTTTAATTTTTTCTCTTTGGGTTCTGATTATTTTAGCACGATGACAGTGGGGCACACCTGTATTTATGTGGGTCCCACGTAGCAGATTGTATTTGAACACTGCTCGCTTAGATTTATTTATTTGAACAATTGCTCACTCAGATTTAACAACAGAATATTTTATTATTAATATTAAATGAGGCCTCCGTTAAATAATTAGGTGGTGACATGAATAGTTATTTGTTTCAAAAATTGGACTTCAATAATTTACTATTGGTATAATATTAAAAATAGCCTTTAATGTTTATTAAAATAGTCATTTTGATCTATATTATTTTAGTATTTTGTCTCTAATATTTTACTTTAAGATAAAAGTTTTTTTGTAGACAAAATTTATTAGTTAACACACGATTAATATTCTAAAATATGAATCTTTTTTAATTTAAAATAAAATATTGAGGATTAAAATACAACATAAAAGAAGAATCAGTGATAAAATGATTATTATATTAAATTTTATTTGCCTTTTTATCTTAGAATAAAACGTTGGAAGCCAAAATACTCTAAAAATATAACAGTGATAAAATGACCATTTTAATAAATGTTGGGAGGCTAATTTTGGCATAATGTCTTTACGTTTTCATTTTCTTTTCTCATTTTTAGGGTAAATACATTTTTAGAAAATAACCTCAGTGACAAAAAATCCCATATATTATACGATTTTAACCAATTTTTTCCGGATTTGCCAAAATGACCAACAAAATCGTAATGCGATCGCTAATTCACAACGCGATCTCCATTATCGCAAATTAGTTTCCAGATTCGCAAGGCGATTATGACTATCGCAATGCGATTTTCCAATTTCGCGTTGCGATTTTCCCAATTCACAATGCGAATAAGTAAATCGCAATGCGAATTTGGAAAATCGCAATGTGATACTGACTATCGCAACGCGATAATACAAAATCGCAACGCGATACTGACTTTCGCAACGCGCGACTTTCGCAACGCTGACTTTCGCAACGCGATTCTGACTTTCGCAACGAGATTCTGACTATCGCAACGAGATAATACAGAATCGCAATGCGATTTTCAAAGTTCGCAACATCCTTCTGAGTGGGATATACCAGATGACTTACAAACAGTTTTGCCACCAGCCATGGACAGAAGGCTACTGGCCGACCAAAAGTCACGATCGTATACCGTCTAAGGGTGAAGAGAACAAGAGATCGACATGTAGTCGGTGCAAGGAAAGTGGTCATACAAGGTTGACATGTGGTTCACCAGTGCCATCACAATCATCTTTTCCTCTACCAAAATATGGATCCTCATCAAAATCCAAAGCTCATATGGTGTCAAGCAAAAGGCAATCAAAATCGCAATCATCTTCAAAATCTCAATCACAACCGGCTTCACCTTTAGGGACTGTTAACTTAGGTGATTTTAAATGCAAACGTTGTATTATGTGTATTTTATGTGTGCACTTTAACATTTTCAGTTAGGCATGTATTAGTAACTTGAGTTTGAACATTGCTATGATTTGTTCAGTTGTTATCACTTATTAGACATTCATTTGACTATCGCAACGGGAAATCGCAACGCGAAAATGACTATCGCAACCTATCGCAACGAGAAAATTGCAATGCGAAATGAAAATCGCATGCGATTTTCTCGTTTCGATTTTCATTTCGCATTGCGATCTCTCGTTGCGATAGTCAGTTTCGTGTTGCGATAGTCTGTTTTGCCTTCAACATAATGCAGATTGAAAATCAACAAATCAACTATTACATTTCAATCAATTAAACAAGCACAAATAAGAATTATGTACACATCAATTAAACAAATCAACATTTACAAATCATTTTTACAAATCAATTAAACAATCAAAAAATAATAATAATTCTTATTTCCTCATCAATTATTGAATCAATGAATCAACTGTTGCACCGTACATCCATTTCACGCAGCTCACTTAAGGATTAACCTGCAGAAACCAAACATTTGCTCAAACAGACTTCCTACACATCTAAACCTACAAACAGCAAATTATTGAATTCTAGGTACTAACCAAACATTTTCAACCAAAAGGAGTATATGTTAACAAAACTTGCATTTGACTTACCAATTAACAATGGATACTTTCATAACGCGGATTTAGGTAGGCAACGTCTCGAATATATCGCTCTAGCCATATAATGCCGAAACCACAAGCCTACTGCAGCTCTATCTCTATCGGTGGGAGGTAGAAACTGTGCTTCCCGTCGTCAAACGCGCCAAGACATGCATACGAGGACCACAATCCCCTCTAGCTCCGGCGATTGTTGTGGCGCGGTCTCGTCTCTGACAACTGTGACATTGAACTTCTTTGGCTTCTTGTGTCCAGAATGAGTCCAATAATTAATCTCATCCAAGAAATTAGCCAAATGAGAGCTCCATCCCTTGATAATATCTCTCAAATCAGACAGTGATATGTAATTATCATGTGTGTCATATACTATTATCTTCAGGGATGGGAGCTGAAGTTGGACGAGAAGCCAATGACGACGTTCCAAACAGGAAAAACCTGCAATCATAAGTATAATTCATTTATTTGCGCACTTATTTATGAACACCTTTAAAAAATTTAAAAAATAAACACTAACCTTATCGACCTCCCACCATGCAGGAAAGTTTAGCTTGTCCATGCCCAACGAAAATGATTCATCTCGGATTCTTCAAGTGAACTGCGTGAAAAGCCGCCCGCATTATTTTATATCGCGAATTTTTTTTTTTTCCTAAGCTTCCTTATTATTAGAAGACGTGACCCAACATCGATAGCTGTTTTACAAAAAAAAGACATATATTAGTGAATTACATTAATTTTTAAAAAAATTAATCAAAATCATATAAGACAATATAAGACTTACCTCCCCATCGAAATAGCCACTGTCTTCAACCCCTAAAACACCCCACCAAGACCGATTAAGCAACAATACTCTCATCGTTGAGTTGCTTATGTCAGTGTAACACCCTTGGCTCCGCTCATGTAGATAAAAATCAACTGCGGTCTTAGCCCAAAGGGTATTATCCAGAATTGTTTCTGGTAGTTGTCTCATCTCCAGTTCAGATACCGGAAGGGTACTAGCCGATAACTCGTACGAGAGCCAACTCTCATCCATCATGTCCGGCAACGGTGGGGGTTTCTCAATAATTCGATATATTACCCCATGTGAATCGAGCTCTGAATGGTGGGAGAGACCTCTTCAACGATGACAGTGGCCCTCTTGAACGGTGGTGGGGGGACTCTGAGGGATGATAGGGCCTCTTGAACGATTGGAGGGGACTCTTGAGGATGACAGGTGAGTCGGGAAAACCCGACGTAAAGCATCCACCTTATCGGGCCGCTAAAAAAATTAATACATAAATCAGTAAACAAACAGACATGATATTAAACAAAGACAAATATGTTTCAAACTTGCATTGTATTCACTTAAGTCATTATTCTATCATAGTTCACAAAATGCATCAGATCACATTCCAGAAGTAAGCACTTATATAAACATTTAAAAGGACAACATATATAAACATTCCAGAAGAAGAATAGTTTACTTTCGCAACACGAAACTTACTTCGCAAAGCGAAAATGACTATCGCAACGCGAAAATGGCTATCACAACGCGAAATGAAAATCGCAATGCGAAATGAAAATCGCAACGACAAAATCGCAACGCAAAACACAAATCGCATTGCGATTTTCATTTCGCGTTGCGATTTTGTCGTTGCGATTTTCATTTCGCGTTGCGATTTTGTCGTTGCGATTTTCATTTCGCATTGCGATAGCCATTTCCGCGTTGCGATAGTCATTTTCGTGTTGCGAAAGTAAACTATTCTTCTTCTGCAAATTGAAACTTGAATGGATTGCATTACTTCAACCAAAAGACAAAAACAAATACTAACAAAAACAGTTTAGCAGTATTAGCAGCAACCGAATGAATTTATTAAGCAATCTAAGTGAAATGGTTAATCTAAGTGAAATTACGAGTAAATTTATCATCAAGTTAAATATGAAAAATCTTAAACTTACCTCGTTGCGTAGAGTATGAACCTCATTCTGCAACGATTCTACCATCTCACGTAGAGCTGCTACCTCACCGCGTAAAGTAGACACCTCAACACGCCATGCACCATCGTCTTTGCGTAAAGTACCGACCTCCTCACGCAAGGCATTGACCTCATCACGTAACTCCCCTAACTCATCCCATGGAGGTGGAGGTGGAGAACAGGGAGATAAACGTCGTGGCATCTTTGTCGGTCGCCTATCTTGCGGTGATGGTGGAGAAGAGGCTCGATGATGTGACAGAATATGTGATGGCTGTCGTTGTGGAGGTGTATAGTCGGGTCGATCAGGTGATGGCTCTGGGTGAGGTGATAGCTCTGGGTGAGGTGATGGCTCCCGATGTGGAGGCTGCTCATCATCCGTGCCATCAAAAAAACGCTTACTAGCTTGCCACCAATCAGTGGCAAGCTCAGCTTCCATGGGTGTCAGCCTCTGTAACGGAGTGTTGGCCTCCTAACAATATAAAAGCTCAAACAAAGGTAAATGTGTACTAGTAATAACTTGTTTATAAACATATGGTAGTATTTATGTTAACTTACATTATTTATTGTCGTATACCGTAGTAAATCTTCCCATTGCAAGGTTCGTTTTCTCTTCCAGGAAATAGCCCTGGGAATATCATTTGAAGTTTTTATTGCATATGTCTTCATGGCGGGAAAGGCCTCAAATATCCAAATCTACAAACAATAACAAACATTAGTAATTGTTAAATAATTACTTATAATTTTGGAAAACATTATATAAAAATTCTTACCTTAAAGGCTCAATAAAGCCTGTCAAAGTGTATTTGGAACCATTGCCATGCAAACTTTTCGATCATCCAAGGCAGACGATAACTTATTCCATGTAGCTTGGAACCATTGCCATGCAAACTTTTTCGATCATCCAAGGCAGACGATAACTTAT